GCCAGACATAGCGTTTTCCTTCATGGCCAAAAAGCTCAATTTTAGTTTCATCTGACCAGAGTACCGTCTTCCATATGTTTGGGGAGTCTCCCACATGCCTTTTGGCGAACTTACAAAAATGTATAATAAACTGTTTTTTGCTTTGTCATTATGGGGTATTGTGTGTAGATTGATGAGGGGGGAAAAAAACAATTTAATCAATTTTAGAATAAGACTAATGTAACAAAATATGGAAAAAATCAAGGGGTCTGAATACTTCCCGAATGCACTGTAGGTGGAGACAGGCACTGTTTAGTTTAGTACTTTAGCCACCAGGGTCACCAGAGTTAGTTAATGCCATAATAGAAGCAGAGTCTGATATCTCTCTCACACACACACACACAACACGTTCCACAACAGGTACAAAATACAGTACAGGACAAAACACAGCTGCCATGGATCAAAACACAGCTGCCATGGATCAAAACACAGCTGCCATGGATCAAAACACAGCTGCCATGGATCAAAACACACAGCTGCCATGGATCAAAACACACAGCTGCCATGGATCAAAACACAGCTGCCATGGATCAAAACACAGCTGCCATGGATCAAAACACACAGCTGCCATGGATCAAAACACACAGCTGCCATGGATCAAAACACAGCTGCCATGGATCAAAACACACAGCTGCCATGGATCAAAACACACAGCTGCCATGGATCAAAACACAGCTGCCATGGATCAAAACACACAGCTGCCATGGATCAAAACACACAGCTGCCATGGATCAAAACACAGCTGCCATGGATCAAAACACACAGCTGCCATGGATCAAAACACACAGCTGCCATGGATCAAAACACAGCTGCCATGGATCAAAACACAGCTGCCATGGATCAAAACACACAGCTGCCATGGATCAAAACACAGCTGCCCATCTTCCCTGCCAAAGCCACAAAGGCAGGTTGTATAGGCTAGATTCGGGCTGGGCGATATGGACAAAATATCACATTATTTTTCACTGTATTTTTATGTTTTTGAATAATAAAAGTTCTAAATATGCTGTCTAAATAGTTCATGACCCTGTGGTGGCAACACCGTTTATTTAAAATAGGGCTTTCTCCATTTATACAGTTCAATCAAACTCCAAAACAACAACCCCCCCTCAAAAAAAATTTGCCTTTTCATCAATTTCTCCTGATTTCCTGCACTTTTATTATCATGTCCACACAGCATGATAATGGGAAAAAAAAATCTAGGCCTAGTTAATTGAACTGTTGGAATCGTGGAAATAGAATGATTATTCTATAGTTGGAATATATTGGGCAGCACCTTGAATACACTGACACGGCAACAAATGAATAATCCACAGAGGAACTATTGACAGGGTAGGAACCAAAGTGTTCGTCAGTGTTTCCAGGTGACCTTAATTAGATTTTACATGACATGTTTTCATACTTCGTGTAGCTAGCTGGGCAACATATTCACGCTTGGCTTATTCCTCTCTGATAAGATACCGTTGCGCTAACACGCTTATCTAGCCATACAGCAGCACTGGTACCAGGCAGTATTAGCTAGCTAGCTACGTTTGCTCTGACTCTTAGTACATTTAGCAAGCTAGCCAGCTAACTAGCGATTAGCGGCTAACACAAATTATTTTAGCAACACCTTGCTAAGAAAAGACAAACTAGCAAAACAGTAGTTTGCAGACAGTAAGATACACAAACGAACAGTGTAATTATAGAAGGCTTGTGGAAATCAGCATGTCACCAACGTTGTTGCATCTATCTGACCATGCGGAGTGAAGCGCAAGAAAGTGCTGGTGACTCCGTGGTGGAGTAACTGCTCTCTCCTTGAGTGACGGGGCAGGGCTTGGTGTGGTTAGCGGCATGAAGCAGGAGAGGGAGGGAGAGATGGCTCAACAAGCAAACGGGTAAACTAAAAACGGACATCAAAGACGGCGGAGTTAAGTATCACATTTAACAAACCAAACACTGAAATAAACGTTATAGAAGGTAAAGTGAAAACTCAAACCGGTCCGTGCATCAATACCGGTATATAGTCAAATACGGTATACAGCCCAGTCATAGGCTAGACAGTATTTAAAGGGATATTTCCCCTGAGTCAGATGAACGTGTGGATACCATTTTATGTCTCTGTGTCCAATATGAAGGAAGTTAGAGGTAGTTTCCTGAGCCAATGCTAACTTGCGTTAGCGCAATGACTGGAAGTCCAATGGTTATATGCTAGAAAGATACCTATAGGACTTCCAGTCATTGCACCTACTAGAATGCTAGCAGATAGCGCAATGACTGGAAGTCCAATGGTTATATGCTAGAAAGATACCTATAGGACTTCCAGTCATTGCACCTACTAGAATGCTAGCAGATAGCGCAATGACTGGAAGTCTATGGTTAACGATAGTTAGCAATGGCGCTAGCACTAGTTAGCAACTTCCTTCAAACTGAGCGCAGACATAAAAATGGTATCCACGAGTTCACCTGACTCTGGGGAAATAGATAAAGGGCCTTATTGCCAAAATCCCAAAGTATCCCTTTAAACTCACCTTATAGGCTACATAGTGTTTCTTTTACCTTAAAAACTCTGCAGTTTAGAATAGAGGATTCAATGAGAGTGGCAACAACACAAGAAGTCTCAGGTCCAGTTTCAATCATTCTGTTCTAAACAGCAGTAAATGGCTTGTTGCAGTTTCAGCAACATGTTACCCTTCACAGGGTGGTCCTTGAGAAGTAGAGATTCATACAGGAATCTGTCCGTTTTCAGTTCAGAACTGTGTGAGGCCAGAGATAAGCTACAGGCAGAGGTTAGTGGGAGGAGCTACAGAGACCAACAGAGGTTAGTGAAAGAGCAGCTTAGTGGGAGGAGCTACAGAGACCAACAGACAGACACCCTGAAATTGGTGTCCAATAGAGAGCTAATACAACAGCTCCTGAGATACCGAATAGGGAGAGAGAGAGAGAGAGAGAGAGACAGAGAGAGACAGAGAGAGAGAGAGAGAGAGACAGAGAGAGACAGAGAGAGACAGAGAGAGACAGAGAGAGAGAGAGACAGAGAGAGAGCGAGAGAGCGAGCGAGCGAGAGAGAGAGAGCGAGAGAGACCGATAAACCGAACAGAGACAGAGAGAGAGAGAGAGAGAGAGAGAGAGAGCGAGAGAGAGCGAGAGAGGACCGCTCTGAGCGAGAGGAGAGAGAGAGCGAGAGAGACCGAGACGAGACAGAGAGACACAGACATAGAGACAGGACAGAGAGGCAGATCAGATAGAGAGCAGAGAGAGAGAGAGAGAGAGAGAGAGAGAGAGAGAGAGAGACAGAGAGAGGCAGAGAGAGAGAGGCAGAGAGAGAGACAGAGACGACAGACAGACATACAGACAGACAGACAGACAGACAAGAGACCTACATACAGACAGAGTAGAGAGAGCAGTAAGAGAGAGACGAGAGAGGTAGGCAGAGAGAGAGCAGGAGAGAGAGAAGAGACACAAGACAGACAGAGAGTAGGAGAGACGACAGACGAGAAGACGAGGGATAGCGCGAAAGGGGAGAGCGAAGAGAGAGCGAGACAGATTCATCGATAGAAGAGAGACAGAGAAGACAGAGAGAGAGACAGAGAGAGAAGAGGAAGAGAAGCGAAGAGAGCGAGACCAGGAGACAGAGAGAGAGAGACAGAGAGAAAGAGACAAGAGAGAGACAGAGAGAGACAGAGAGAGCAGATACATAGATAGAGAGACAGAGAGAGAGACAGAGAGAGAGACAGAGAGAGAGACGAGAGAGAGACACAGAGAGACGGAGACAGAGAGGGACAGAGATAGCGAGAGAGAGACGAGCTAAGATATATATAGAAGAGAGAAGAGAGAGACACGAAGAAGAGAGCAGACAGATAGAAGACAGAGCAAGAGAGTAGAAAGATGAGAGAGAGAGAGAGAGAGACAGAGAGAGAGAGAGAGAGAGAGAGAGAGAGAGAGAGAGAGACAGAGAGTTTACAGCAGCAGTTATTATGTGAGGATCATTAGAAGACAGAGAAACAAGCTGTATATAACATCCATATACAATCACATCTGAATCTTTAAAACACAACACATTCACAATAACAGTCCCCCCCCCCCCCCCAGACAAAGGAGAGCTGACAATCATTGCTGCTCCATAGAGGAGCTGTAAGAGTTCTTCAGCTAAACCTGAATATCTAGCATAGCAACACTAGTAGTCACCAGGGTTGGGGTCAATCTCATTTGGAATTCCAGTCAATACAGGAAGTACACCACCATTCCAATTCCAATTCAATGCTTCTCAATGAGGGGGGGAAAAAAGGTGGAATTTGGTATACTTTCTGATTTGACCATAAACCCTGGTAGTCACATTTATATCAAGGCTATTGAACCCCAGACCTAGAGGTCAGCAGTACTGCTGGTTATCATCCACAATGGGCAGTTTCCCAGATAACCCTATTGAACCCCAGTCCTAGAGGTCAGCAGTACTGCCGGTTGTCATTATCCACTATGGGCCGTTTCCCAGACAACCCAGACTGCCCTATAACTAGGTCCAGTACAGTGGACTCTCTGGCCAATCAGTGACAATGAATTAACTACCAGGTAAACATGACAACCAGCTGACACGAGGCTTGGATTTAAATACACCTGACTTGTATAGTGAAGAGTGCTGTTCTTGTTTTACAGTTCACACCATTTCTGGGTATAGACAGTGAAGGACCTGGATGGAATCTCTGTTTTAAAAGGCCTGGGTTGTGATTAACATCAGACCTGGGGACAATATGACACATTGGTCAAATACCTGAGGTGTGCTTGATTTATCTTGGCACAATGGAACCAATGGACAAGTCCAGAAGTTAAAACTCTGCATGCCAAGCGAATCAAACCAAGCGCACCAAGTATATCTGAAAGCTGTATTGGACCCAGATCCTCCGTCTACATAAACATTCTCCAGTCCTGTAGGAGGTTGTGAGTGGAGTTCAAGTGTTGTCGGTTCTAGACTAATGTTCTGTAGTCTAGAACCCGTTTGTGGCGGTGGCGTTAATCCCCGAGACGGCGGAACCGGCAGAGTCCAGCGGTTGCCGTGTGGTCGCGGTCACGACGGGCCTCCTCTTGGGCGGTGTCTTGAGGGTTCCGTTGCGCTCTTTGACCTTGTACTCCAGCGTGCTGTGAGGGATCCCATAAACCCCCTGGGCCTTGGACACGCTCATCCCGCCCCCCATCACCATGGAGATAGCCTCCTCCAGCAGGTCGTGGTCGTACTGCCGGTAGCGCCCACGCTTCTTCCTGGACTGCTTGTTCTCCCCGCTACGCTCCGCCCCGTCCTCAGGATCATCCAATGAGGAGCAGTGGTGGTGGGCGGGGTCAGGCAGGTCGAGGGAAGGCAGGAGGGCGCGGTGGAGTCTCAGCAGAGAGGAAGAGGTAGCAGCGGTATTAGTGGTGGTGGCGCCATGGTGTGGTGGGTGGTGGTAATGCAGGGCCTCAGCCAGGCTGTAAGGCTCAGGGAGACGGGGAGCTGGTCTGGAGCTAGATCTGACCTGGGGGATACGGAGGGGGGTGTGGGGGTGAGGGCTGGAGGGGGGGTGCGACAGAGACAAAGCCCTCTGCAGGCCACGCTGGGTCAGACAGGATGAAGAGAAGAGCATCTCTCCGTTCTCCTCACTCGCTCCCAGCTCCGCCCAGGCCGCCACCCTCTGCAGCGCCAGCCGCATCTCCCCGCCGTGCGCCGATGACATCACATCCTGTGAGGTCACATCCTCCCCCTGTACGGGGCCCGGGGCCTCCAGCTGTGAGCGCAGTGTTCCAGGGGGGATCCCGTAGAGCAGAGCAGCCCTGTTCTCCTGGAGACTACCAGACCTCACGTCTCTCAGAGCCTTGGACAGCAGCCCCTCAGATAGCTCACTGGACCTCTCAGCATGGTGGTACTCTGTCCTCCCCTCAGACAGCTCACTGGACCTCTCAGCACGGTGGTACTTGGTCTGGTACGCCCTGGCTGCTCCCCAACGCTGCTGCCTCCTAGTGGGGGGGAGGACCAAACACCACCGTCAGGATCAGGGAGGGGCGAGAGGGCCGACTCCTTTTATGTCTTGTGTTGGTAACATCACTGCCAAGGTCTGTCAAGAGCTGACGTCATCTGTGACTGACGTCTCTCTGTCTGTCACATGAAGAAAGGGAGTGACATCATCTCTGTGTGTCTGTCTGTCTGTCTGTCACATGAAGAAAGGGAGTGACATCACCTCTGTGTGTCTGTCTGTCTGTCACATGAAGAAAGGGAGTGACATCATCTCTGTGTGTCTGTCTGTCTGTCTGTCTGTCACATGAAGAAAGGGAGTGACATCATCTCTGTGTGTCTGTCTGTCTGTCTGTCACATGAAGAAAGGGAGTGACATCATCTCTGTGTGTCTGTCTGTCTGTCTGTCACATGAAGAAAGGGAGTGACATCATCTCTGTGTGTCTGTCTGTCTGTCTGTCACATGAAGAAAGGTCTTTGCAGTATAGTATTTTGGTTAAAGGGGTGCTGGTCCACAGCGTTATTAGGAACAGGAACACTCCAGTCTCACGTTACTCTGTGTCTCACACACACACCTGTTTCTGTGTAGAAGTCTGAATAGCTGAGGTTACAGGCTGAAGCCAGACACACCCCCACCCCACCCCCACCCACAGTAGCTTGTTCCAGTGTTATACATCCTCAATGTAGTGCTGCTACTGATGTTGTTGTGACGTTGCCGTGACGTTATTGTGACGTTGCCGTGACGTTGTGACGTTGCCGTGACGTTACCACTCAACAAGTGATAAGAGTCAACCCCCTTCACATAGCAACAACACACACGGACACACACACACAGCCAGCTAGCTGACTACACCAGGGCCGTGGTCCGGCTAGCTGGCTACACCAGGGCCGTGGTCCGGCTAGCTGGCTACACCAGGGCCGTGTTCCGGCTAGCTGGCTACACCAGGGCCGTGGTCCGGCTAGCTGGCTACACCAGGGCCGTGTTCCGGCTAGCTGGCTACACCAGGGCCGTGTTCCGGCTAGCTGGCTACACCAGGGCCGTGGTCCGGCTAGCTGGCTACACCAGGGCCGTGGTCCGGCTAGCTGGCTACACCAGGGCCGTGTTCCGGCTTGCTGGCTACACCAGGGCCGTGTTCCGTAGAGGGACTAACAGGTGTTGTTGAAACAGGGAGGTTACCACCTGATTTATATGGATATATACATCCCATCCCATCACCAGTACATTATTCAATTCACCATCCAAGTCTACAGCCTGGTTCCATTGATACCAGAGGACTGGTTGAAATATAAAGAGCATTCTGACCAGTCTAACTGAGATACAGATCAACCTAACACTGTCCCGACACACTAACAAGCACACCACTCTGAATTCAAGTAGTGTTTTTTGCCGTACAAGCTTAAATAGTATGGTACTTAAAGTGAAGTATAGTATTGTAAATGCATGGTAAATAGTAATGATGTAATCTATTGGGCTATGCATACTAAGTAGTGTGCTAGTATGGACACTGAGCCACAGTTAGGGGACCAAGGAGAGGAGAGACACTCACCCTGAGGCTTTGGGGAAGGTGGGTGATCTGGCAGAGCTCCGCTTGGAGAGGTCCAGCACACTGTTCGCTACGGGAGGAGGAATCACACAACTAGTTAGTTAGAGGCCGGACAACTAGTTAGAGGCCGGACAACTAGTTAGAGGCCGGACAACTAGTTAGAAATGTGTGGGTTCTAAGTCCTGTTGGATTCTCTACCTGGTGTGGATCAAGGTCAAAGATAGGACGAGGATTCTAATATCCCATAACTCTTTGCATCAACGCAGAAGAATTCTAAAACAAAAGGGACCAAGCGATGCTAGTTAGCAACGGCACTGGTCCCACGAATCTCGTTTATTTCCAGAAGCTACGACGTTATCCTCACCTTGGCATCTTCAACCTCGGTGTGGGTTCTCTCCCTGAGTTGGTCTACCACAAAGCAGGATCAAATAGTTAGCCAGCTAACTTTGATAAGCATCCAGAAATAACGACTCATTTTCTCGTTCTTTATTTTTTTTAAAGTTAAACTTGTAGATATGTGTTTTCGGGTTGTTGAATCAACTGACCCGTCGCTAAGCACCGGTCCCCTTGGTTACTGTTGCTACCTCAGATTACATTTTCCCGGGAAGCCCATTTCCCCCCTTCTGACCATTGGCCAAATCTCCTCACAATGATCTCAAACTATGTTTTTAATACACAAATGAAAAATAAACACCCGACTACCCCTTGCTCAAATCAGGAAACTCTTGGGTATGTTGTGGTGGACTGTCATTCCAATTGCTTCACTGGAACCTGGTCAAATTGTTTTGTAGCGTGGCTTGCCACTAAATGGCTCTGAATGCACTGTGCATAGTCGAAGATACTAACCAATTTTGGGATAATAAGTGCTAATTAAAAATTCCTAATATAGCCAACTTAGCTAGCTAACATACATTTAGAGAAAACAAGTTATATTAAGTGGCTAGCTAGCTAGCGATAACAACGTTTGGTGGTCAATAAGAAAGAGCTAGCTAACCAAGCTGAGCTAGCAAACACTAACAAAAGTATCATTACGGATTCAAAAAATACTCAATTTCAGGAATCATTGGCAAGTACCCCTGGTCCACTGTTTAATTATTTAACCATTTAAACAATGATTTTTTGAAGAAAACAAGGTTTTTGCCCACTGCCCTCACTGGCTTTCATGCGTTTCGGACTCGACTACAGTTGCTATCTATTGGAGCGATGCGATTGGTTGCCCAAAATTCCAGGGCGGGGCTTAGCGAAGAGTCAATTAAACCATGGCCATTTCAAGCTTATCTTAAAAAAATAAAAATAAGAATAATATCTAAATAGTTAGGCAAGTTAGCTGGCTAACTCCTTGGTCCTGCTTTGTAGTATACCCCCCTGGTGTTGGGTTCTAAGCCCTGTTGGGTTCTCCACCTGGTGTTGGTTATAAGTCCTGTTGGGTTCACTATCTGGTGTTGGTTCTCTACCTGGTGTTGGGTTCTAAGCCCTATTGGGTTCTTTACCTGGTATTGGTTCTAAGCCCTGTTGGGTTCTCTACCTAGTGTTGGTTCTAAGTCCTGTTGGGTTCTCTCCCTGGTGTGGGTTCTAAGTCCTGTTGGGTTCTCTCCCTGGTGTGGGTTCTAAGTCCTGTTGGGTTCTCTACCTGGTGTGGATTCTAAGTCCTGTTGGGTTCTAAGTCCTGTTGGGTTCTCTACCTGGTGTTGGTTCTAAGTCCTGTTGGGTTCTCTACCTGGTGTTGGTTCTAAGTCCTGTTGAGTTCTCTACCTGGTGTTGGTTCTAAGTAATGTTGGGTTCTCTACCTGGTGTTGGTTCTAAGTCCTGTTGGGTTCTCTCCCTGGTGTTGGATTGTAAGTCCTGTTGGGTTCTCTCCTGGTGTGGGTTCTAAGTCCTGTTGGGTTCTCTACCTGGTGTTGGTTCTAAGTCCTGTTGGGTTCTCTCCCTGGTGTGGGTTCTAAGTCCTGTTGGGCTCTCTACCTGGTGTTGGTTCTAAGTCCTGTTGGGTTCTCTCCCTGGTGTTGGTTCTAAGTCCTGTTGGGTTCTCTCCCTGGTGTGGGTTCTAAGTCCTGTTGGGTTCTCTACCTGGTGTTGGATTCTCTACCTGGTGTTGGTTCTAAGTCCTGTTGGGTTCTCTACCTGGTGTTGGTTCTAAGTCCTGTTGGGTTCTCTCCCTGGTGTTGGATTGTAAGTCCTGTTGGGTTCTCTCCTGGTGTGGGTTCTAAGTCCTGTTTGGTTCTCTACCTGGTGTTGGTTCTAAGTCCTGTTGGGTTCTCTACCTGGTATTGGTTCTAAGTCCTGTTGGGTTCTCTACCTGGTGTTGGTTCTAAGTCCTGTTGGGTTCTCTCCCTGGTGTTGGATTGTAAGTCCTGTTGGGTTCTCTCCTGGTGTGGGTTCTAAGTCCTGTTTGGTTCTCTACCTGGTGTTGGTTCTAAGTCCTGTTGGGTTCTCTACCTGGTATTGGTTCTAAGTCCTGTTGGGTTCTCTCCCTGGTGTGGGTTCTAAGTCCTGTTGGGCTCTCTACCTGGTGTTGGATTGTAAGTCCTGTTGGGTTCTCTCCTGTTGTGGGTTCTAAGTCCTGTTTGGTTCTCTACCTGGTGTTGGTTCTAAGTCCTGTTGGGTTCTCTCCCTGGTGTGGGTTCTAAGTCTTGTTGGGTTCTCTCCCTGGTGTGGGTTCTAAGTCCTGTTGGGTTCTCTCCCTGGTGTTGGTTCTAAGTCCTGTTGGGTTCTCTCCCTGGTGTTGGTTCTAAGTCCTGTTGGGTTCTCTCCCTGGTGTTGGTTCTAAGTCCTGTTGGGTTCTCTCTCTGGTGTTGGTTCTAAGCCCTGTTGGGTTCTCTACCTGGTGTGGGTTCCTCCTCCTGGTTCTCCTGGTTCCGTGTCACAGTGAGGTCTAGAGGTGTGTCGAGGTCAGAACGCTGGGAGCCAGTGGCGGTGCTGGTAGAGGTGGTGAGGTGTGTCTTGGTGACGTACTCTATAGCAAACTGCCTGACCATCCTCCTCATCAGTTCCTGGGCAACCAGAGGGATGTTAGGGTCCCCACCGGACGACAGCTCTGGCATGGACAGACAATCAATCAATCACATGTATATATACTGCCCACCTACATTTCTATAGCGTTTATAAACCAGGTAGCCAACGACGCTGCATTAGAGTTTACAGGTCACCCGTCATCTCTACCGGCTTTTAGTTCCTATGGAAACGTTACTGTTCTAGTTGAGTGGGCGGGGACTCACCCTTCTTATGGAACACGGCGTGGAGGAACCTGTGAGCTGACAGGCTGCTGTCTGAGAGGGAGGGGCCTTGGGAGGGGGAGGCGGCCGCCACCGGGACATGGTCCTATCAGGAGGAGGAGGAAGAAGAGGCAATGACATCACTAACGCATCATTAATAAAACACATACAAACCAACGCGTATCAGCTAACCACATCGTAAGTCGATGACACAGGTCGGTGACGTGGCACGCAACCATCGGTTGATGCATGCAGCGTCCGAGCAGCGGGAAACACGACCAATGTCACCCGAATGACAACGGCTACCAAAAACGTTTCGCAGCGACTGACAAGAGAAACCCCCAGTGAATCCCGATATTAGCTGTGACCGAAGCGTTTCCACGAGAGCTGGAAGTGAATCAAGATAGAAAATGGCTGCATGTTTATAGAATGAGCTGAACTTACATTGATCAGGAGGCCGCAGAAGGAACAGCCGGCCTCCACTGCCCAGTCGTCGAGCTCCTCTGGTTCACAGTCTGAACACACACACACACACACACACACACACACACACACACACACACACAATCACATGTCAAAAAGACAAGCCTCATGTATAACACAAAATACTTGTACGCAAATACACACGGACACTCACCATCAAAAATATTGAGGTCTCTGAGCAGCAACGGGCCATAGATTCCCTCCAGAATGCTCTCGAACCCTGCACAACACAATGGAATACACACTATCAACACACACACACACACACACACACACCTTTCTCTGACTGTGCCAACATTGGGCTCATTGTTTTGATTTTACTGGTTGTCTGCAGGAAACCAGATGAGTGAGTGTCAGTGGAGGCTGCCGAAGGGGAGGAGGACGGCTCATAATAACGGCTGTAAACGGGAGTCAATGGAATGGCATCAAACACGGGATTCCATTTTTTAACCATTCACCCAGTAGCCTCCTGTACCTGGTGCATTTACATAATTTACGGACCATATCCCTGACACACTTACGTTAGTAAATACATATACATTATTTTTATCTGGCAGCCCCGTGGAATGAACCCACAACCGCTGCAAACGCCATGCTCTTCAACTGAGCTACATCCTGCGGCCATCCTCCAAAACCCCTGAACGACCTGGGCCAATGTGGCCGCCCCATGGTTCTCCCGTCGTCGCCGGCTGCGACTAGCCTGGATTCGAACCGATCTCTAGTTGCACAGCTATTATAGACCACTGCGCCACTCGGGAGTTTACCTAGCAAGCTAAGTTATAATATTAAAAAAGAGACATAGCTTTGTAGTAGAATAGCTATGACAGCAGTCTCCAACTCCAGCCTGGTCTCAGAGCAAAACGTATTATATTTTACTAAAATACATGCCACTCCATTTAGTATACACTGAGTGTACAAAACGTAGACTGACCAGGTAAACGCTATGATCCCTTATTGATGTCACCTGTTAAATCCACTTCAAAAATCAGTGTAGATTTTTAAGCCTTGAGACATGGATTGTGTATGTGTGCCATTCTGAGGGTGAATGGGCAAGACAAAAGATTTAAGTGCCTTTGAACGGGGTATGGTAGTAGGTGCCAGGCGTACCTGTTTTGAGTCAAGAACTGCAACGCTGCTGGGTTTTACACACTCAACCATTTGCCGTGTGTATCAAGAATGGTCCACCAACCAAAGGACATCCAGCCAACTTGACACAACTTGTGGGAAGCATTGGAGTCAACATGGGCCAGCGTCCCTGTGGAACGCTTTCGACACCTTGTATAGTCCATGCCCGACGAATTTGAGGCTTGAGGGCAAAAGGGGGGCTCAACTCAATATTAGGAAAGTGTTCGGTGTGTTAATTAACGTTAGGTTACATTACTAGACTAGAAGTAAAATAGTAAACGATTAGTAAATGTTACGTTTGGATGGGTGGGAGTATAACGCAAACGTCTAACGTCCCAAAGGTTGTGTGTTCAACTATCATCAGGGACAACTTCAGCAACTAATTATTACTTTTTAGGCTACTTTGCAACTACTTAGCATGTTAGCTAACACTAACCCTTTAACCTAACTCCTAACCTTAACCCCTAACCTACTTAGCATGTTAGCTAACACTAACCCTTTAACCTAACTCCTAACCTAACCCCTAACCTACTTAGCATGTTAGCTAACACTAACCCTTTAACCTAACTCCTAACCTTAATCCCTAACCTACTTAGCATGTTTATCTAACACTACCCTTTAACCTAACCCCTAACCTACGTAGCATGTTAGCTAACCCTTTAACCTAACTCCTAACCTTAATCCCTAACCTACTTAGCATGTTAGCTAACACTAACCCTTTAACTTAACTCCTAACCTTAACCCCTAACCTACGTAGCATGTTAGCTAACCCTTTAACCTAACTCCTAACCTTAATCCCTAACCTACTTATTAGCATGTTAGCTAACCCTAACCCTTTAACCTAACTCCTAACCTTAACCCCTAACCTACTTAGCATGTTAGCTAACCCTAACCCTTTAACCTAACTCCTAACCTAACGTAGCATATCATACTAAAGCAGTCGAACGTAATATCATACTAAACGGGTCAAAGCAAACTGGTGCAAACAAGACGTAGGATACTATACATCCCACAATTCATATTATATAGGAGTACCACAGTATGAGTCATAATACCCATAAAACCTAGTGGTCAAACAAGGAAATGGTTCAAATCATTTTTTTAGAAACACTTTAAATAAGGGCTGTGTTTTGTGTAGGCTTACCCTGCGTGACGTTTTGATAACTGTGTAAATCTCTCTAGGACAAGGTGACTTTTATCAATATATTTGCCTGTATTTAACCCCCCAAAAATGTAATGCTAATTAGCTGCTAATGTGGCTATCATAAAGAACTACAAATGCCATGATGATCTGGACTAGACTGCCGAATCAAGGCAAAGGTAAGAATCTCTGGATTAACTATCGAATGTTAGCTAAATTTAGTAATTAATCAATTGGCTAAATGTATTTTAATTGACAATTCTGTGAACTGTCTTGTGCAAGTTTTTAATGTACATAATACCTCTCAGCAAAAAGTGTCAGCTAGAGATGACGTGCATGGAGCTAGCAGGGATTTGTAGTCTTCCATGTCTACTTTGATGCTAATTAGCATTTTCGAATCTGAGAGTAAATAGAGCTGAATATATTGATAAAAGTCACCTTGTCTGAGAGAGATTTACACGGTTATCAAAACGTCACACCAGGCTAAGCCTACACGAAACACAGCCCTTATATGAAGTGTTTCTAAAATTCCCTATGGGAAAAATTAATGGTGGAAAAAACGATTCAAATCAAATTTTATTTGTCACATACACATGTTTAGCAGATGTTATAGCAGTTGTAGCGAAATGCTTGTGCTTCTAGCTCCGACAGTGCAGTAATATCGAACAAGTAATATCTAAGAATTTCACAACATATACCCAATACACACAAATCTAAGTAAGGAATGGAATTAAGAATATATACACATATGGACGAGCAATGACAGAGCGGCATGGACTAAGATACAGTAGAATATTATAGAATAGAATGCAGTATATACATATGAGATTAGTAATGCAAGATATGGAAACATTATTGAAGTGCCTAGTGTTCCATTATTAAAGTGGCCAGTGATTTCAATAGGCAGCAGCAGCATCTACTGTGCTAGTGATGGCTATTTAACAGTCTGATGGCCTTGAGATAGAAGCTGTTTTTCAGTCTCTCGGTCCCAGCTTTGATGCACCTGTACTGACCTCGCCTTCTGGATGATAGCGGGGTGAACAGGCCGTGGCTCGGGTGGTTGATGTCCTTGATGATCTTTTTGGCCTTCCTGTGACATCGGGTGCTGTAGGTGTCCTGGAGGGCAGGCAGTGTGTCCCCGGTAATGCGTTGGGCAGACCGCACCACCCTCTGGAGAGCCCTGCGGTTGCGGGCGGTGCAGTTGCCATACCAGGCGGTGATACAGCCCAACAGCATGCTCTCAAGTGTGCATCTGTAAAAGTTTGTGAGGGTTTTAGGTGCCAAGCCAAGTTTCTTCAGCCTCCTGAGGTTGAAGAGGCTCTGTTGCGCCTTCTTCACCACACTGTCTGTGTGGGTGGACCATTTCAGTTTGTCTGTGATGTGTACGCAGAGGAACTTGAAGCTTTCCACCTTCTCCACTGCGGTCCCGTCGATGTGGATAGGGGCGTGCTCCCTCTGCTGTTTCCTGAAGTACACGATCATCTCCTTTGTTTTGTTGACGTTGAGTGAGAGGTTATTTTCCCGGCACCACACTCCCAGAGCCCTCACCTCCTCCCTGTAGGCTGTCTCGTCATTGTTGGTCACCACCTGGGGGCGGCCAGTCAGGAAGTCCAGGACCCAGTTGCACAGGGCGGGGTTAAGACCCAGGGCCTCGAGCTTAATGATGAGCTTGGAGGGTACTATGGTGTTGAATGCTGAGCTATAGACAATGAACAGCATTCTTACATAGGTATTCCTCTTGTCCAGATGGGATAGGGCAGTGTCTGTGGATCTATTGGGGCGGTAAGCCAAATTGAAGTGGGTCTAGGGTGACAGGTAAGGTAGAGGTGATATGATCCTTGACTAGTCTCTCAAAGCACTTCATGATGACAGAGGTGAGTGCTACGGGGGCGATAGTCATTTAGTTCAGTTGCCTTTGCTTTCTTGGTTACAGGAACAATGGTGGCCATCTTGAAGCATGTGGGGACAGAAGACTGGGATAGAGGGAGAGATTGACTATTATATGGGTATTATGACACCTCCACCGTGGGGCTCTATAGTACCTCCACCGTGGGGCTCTATAGTACCTCCACCGTGGGGCTCTATAGTACCAACGTAAAGTAACATATCATACTGAATGGAGTGGCACGGATTTTAGTAAAATATAATAGGTTTTGTTCTGAGACCAGGTTGCCAACTCTGCTCCTCGAGAGCAACTGGGTCATGTTCAGTACACAAACATTGTTGAACGTTGCAGATAGAAATGCCATGAATAGAGCTGACGTGATTCCTTATCCTTATTTATGTATGGTCTTATTCTACATGCCAGAGGCCGTATCTATACTTGACACTTAACATGTGACTACTGCTATCAGAATACGAAGATAGCATCGAAAAGACAGGTCTAGGCGCACAAAAGGGGCAACTGCACCGCCCGCAACCGCAGGGCTCTCCAGAGGGTGGTGCGGTCTGTCCAACGCATCACCGGGGGCACACTGCCTGCCCTCCAGGACACCTACAGCACCCGATGTCACAGGAAGGCCAAAAAAAGATCATCAAGGACATCAGCCGCCCGAGCCACGGCCTGTTCACCCCGCTATCATCCAGAAGGCGAGGTCAGTACAGGTGCATCAAAGCTGGGACCGGGAGACTGAAAAACAGCTTCTATCTGAAGGCCATCAGACTGTTAAACAGCCATCACTAGCCGGCTACCACCGGGTTACTCAACCCTGCACCTTAGAGGCTGCTGCCCTATATACATAGACATGGAATCACTGGCCACTTTAATAATGGAACACTAGTCACTTTAATAATGTTTACATACTGCTTTACTCATCTCATATGTATATACTGTATTCTATTCTACTGTATTTTAGTCAATACCACTCCGACATTGCTCGTCCTAATATTTATATATTTCTTAATTCCATTATTTTACTTTTAGATTTGTGTGTATTGTTAGATACTACTGCA